TGGCTACGGCCCTGATGGGGAGTGCTCACCAGATGAAGACGTATCCACTCAAGACAGACAAGCAGGCACAGAGCAGCCTGTGGAAATGGTGGTCGACGGATGATAATAGAAATAATAATAGATACTGTATTGATCCCTGAGGGAGGTTTTTACACCTCCCTCAGCTTGCTCTTTCTAGAGTAAGTTGTCCACAAAGGGCAGCCAACTGTTGGGGCACCCTGGGAGCCGGGGGTTAAGGCCTTTGCTCAAGGACCTGCAGATGTGCTGAGGCTGGGTTTGAACTGGCAACCTTCTGATTACAGGCACACAGGTTTAGCCCACTAAACCGTACACTGCCCCCTTGTGATCCTCCAGGTGTTACATCAAAATCTGTGACCATTGAGTTCTCTAACCCTAGAGGTACTGTTGCACATGTTTGCGAGGTTCCCGTTCACGTGCACGAGCTCTCTATGCATTTTACGGAATGCAGTTAAATTGCGTGTTCTTGCAAAATATATAGGAGGCTACAAGAGTGGGTATTTCTGAGCTCTGAAACACATCGGCAGTGCTGTGTTTAATTTCCCCGTTTGTTCGGGGGAAAGTAAAATAAAGTATTTTACTTTATTTTATTATCCATCATCCAACCATCTCCTACCGCTTTTCTGGGTCGGGTCGCAGGGGCAGCAGTCTAAGCAGGGAAACCCAGACTTCCCTCTCCCCAGCCACTTCGTCTAGCTCCTCTGGGGGAATTCCAAGGCATTCCCAGGCAGCCGAGAGACATAGTCTGTCCAGCATGTCCTAGGTCTTCCCCGGGGTCTCCTCCCAGTGGGACATGCCTGAAACACCTCACCAGGGAGGCATCCAGGAGGCATCATAACCAAAAGCCTGAGCCACCTCATCTAGCTCCTCTTGATGTGGAGGAGCAGTAGCTCTACTATGAGTCCCTCCCGAATGACCAAGCTTCTCATCCTATCTCTAAGGAAGAGCCCAGTCACCCTGCGGAGTAAACCCATTTTAGCCGCTTGTATTCGCAACCTCGTTCTTTCAGTCACTACCCACAGCTCATGACCATTGGTGAGGGTAGGATTGTAGATCGACTGGTAAATCAAGAGCTTTGTCTTTTGGCTCAGCTCCTTCTTCACCATAACAGACCGATGCAGTACCTGCATTATTGCTGACGCCGCACTGATCTGCCTGTCGATCTCCCGTTCCATCCTTCCCTCACTCGTGAAAAAGACCTCCTCCACTTGGGGAAGGACTCCCTCCATGATCCGGAGAGAGCACTCCACCCTTTTCCAGCTGAGGACCATGGTCTCGGATTTGGAGGTGCTGATTTTCATCCCGGCCACTTCACACTCAGCTGCGAACTGCTCCAGTCCCCTTTCTTGAAGTGGGGGACCACCAACCCGGTCTGCTAATCCAGAGGCATTGCCCCCAATGTTCACGCGATGCTGCAGGTGCGTGTCAACCAGGACAGCCCCGCAACATCCAGAGCCTTGAGGAACTCTGGGCAGATCTATTCCAACCCCGGGGGTTGGCCACCAAGAAGCTTTTTAACCACCTCGGCGACCTCTGCCCCAGAGATAGGGGAGTCCACCCCCAAGTCCCCAGACTCTGCTTCCTCATTGGAAGGCGTGTCGTGGGATTGAGGAGGTCTTCGAAGTATTCCTTTCACTGACCCACAACGTCCCGAGTTGAGGTCAGCAGTGCCCCATCCCCACCATAAACAGTGTTGATGCTGCACCGCTTTTCCGCCCGGAGCTGCCGAATGGTGGACCAGAATCTCCTCGAAGCCGTCTCCATGGCCTCGCCAAACAACAACAACAAATTTATTTTTGTATAGCACATTTTCACAACATTACATTGTCTCAGAGTGCTTCACAGCATCCCTGCCCAAAGTCCTAAGTGAGTAAGCCAGAGGCGACAGTGGCAAGGAAAATATCCCTAGAAGGAAGAAACCTTGAGAGGGACCAGACTCAAAGGGGGAGCCCATTCTCCTGGGGCCAGTAAGGAAAGTCAAATTGGCTAAGTGGCAAGTCACACAGTTGAAGTCATAAAGTATGAGTCAGCTCCTTCAGATTACCGGGCAACCAGTAGTAAGGCAGCTGAGCATACATGGAGGACGACACAGGCAGAAGGGCGAGCTGGAGAGAAGGACGTCATGCATAGTGGAGATGTTGCATGTAGCAGGGTGTGCAGGATATCTCGATAAACTGGGGTCTCCAGGCAGCATACTAGTCAAAGTAGGGGAGATATTAGGTAGTGCTAACAGTTAGGTAAGTGCAATATGTAAGTGCAATGTACAGTATAAGCTCCAGCAGATATGGCTATGGCAGCATAAGTAGGAGGGAGAGGCAAGTGGTAATGGAGGCATGGGGAGTCCCTGAAATGTCAGTACTCCAATTCCACAAGGGACTGTGAAGCTAGAGTGACAGCACTGACAGCTGAGTTTATCCAAAGCCAGTGGCACCGATCCCCACCCAGCTCTACACCTCACACTACAGATCTAACTGGGGGTGAACAATTAGCTAAAGCTAGGACTAGAGTCCCTATAGGCTAGACTGAATAAGTGTGTTTTTATTCTTGACTTGAATATTGAGAGTGAACCTGAATCCCGCACATCCGGTGGAAGACCATTCCACAGCTGAGGAGCTCTATAGGAGAAAGCTCTGCAGCCTGCCGTAGCTCTTTCTACCCTAGGTACTAACAGAAATCCTGCACCTTGAGAACAAAGCAAGCCCAGAGGATTGTATGAAGCCAGCATCTCAATAAGGTGTTCTGGTGCAAGGCCATTCGGTGCTATATAAGTAAATAGCAGTATTTTATAGTCAATCTGAGACTTAACTGGAAACCAGTGAAGGGAGGATAAGACAGGGCTAATGTGATAAAATTTTTTAGTGTTTGTGAGAACTCTGGCTGCTGCATTCTGTACCAGCTAAAGTTTATGTAAGGATCTAGATGGGCAACCAGAAAGAAGGGCATTACAGTAATCCAGTCTGGAAGTTATAAAGGCATGTATTAATTTTTCTGCATCATGAAGGGAGACAATCTTCCGAAGCTTGGTTGTGTTCTGTAGATGATAAAACGCAGTAGTAATGCTTCTTATGTGAGCATCAAAACATAATTCTTAATCAACTAGAAGACCAAGATTTCTGACCACTGTGTTAGGTTGTGACACCAATATATACAGTAAACTGGTGAAATTTGCAGATGACACCAAAGTGGGTGGTGTAGCAGATACTGA